GCCCTCGAGGCCTGCAGTTCGACACCTGTGTGGTGTTAGTTTCTCATGCATGCACCTTAGAAGTAGGTGAAGTTGTGCCAAAGATTTCTGTTGCTATTTAATCTGTGTACAAAAAATAACGTCAGATGTGAGTTTTTTTCCACTTTCTTCTGATTTTGGTGATGTGAAGATGTATTTGCAGCACATTTGGAACATGAGTGAAAGATGAACACAGAGAGGGAAACCGCTGCCTCTGATTTACCCTTTGTTTCTCTGATGATAGTTTGAGGTTAACATTTGTTTAACAGTGAAAACACAATTGCTTGATTATGTCTGGGATGTTTTGGAGACGTGTTCCTGTGCAGTGACACCACTCAGTCACCAGTTTAGTATCCTGTCAGCTTCAGCTGGACTTTGTATGAAAGCTGATGTTTCACCCAGAATCTAAAACTGTGTAATAAATAACAGTGATGACATGAAGGCTGCTTAGTATTAGTTATTGTATGATGTCAGCAGAAGCCCGGCTGATTTGTCTCTGAAAAAGCTGATTAAACATTTCTGAGCAAAGACAGATCCACAAACAAGGCCGCACAGAGAGCTGAGTTCAACAACCCACTTTAATCCAGACAAAGTCCCACAAACACATCAAAGAAATGAGGTGTGATATCACAGAGTGACCCAGGCTGGACAACAACATGACAGGAAGCTGCAGCGCGTGCCTCTGAAGGAGATCCATCCAAACAGCCGGGCCGGCACGGCTGCAGTCAGCAGGTGCAAAGGTCCTCACAGCATAAAATCATAATGGTCACTTTAAAATGTTAATAACTCAGTGCTGAAAACACAGTGTGTTTCTAAACTGGAAGTATTTCAGTTTGACTAAAACGGACACAGCAGTTTCTACTGATTGGTCAGGACTCCGTGTCCTTATGATCTGTATGCTTATTGTTTAAAATTCAACATATTTCACAGATATTTAACATGCAGCTTTAATCAAATTTGGCCTTCACTGGATTCATGTACAAATATTTTTCTTCTCTGCCTTTTTTCTGAGAGATTAAAGTACATAAAAAAGGATTCATATGTATTTTCAACATTGCAAACCCATCCATCTGTTTTTTTCTACTTATCCAAAGCAGCGCCGCTGTGGTCACAACCCTATCCCAGCTGTCAAAGGTGACATGCACCTGGGCAGGTGTAGCACAATGAGACAGCCAGGCATACATGTGTTTGGACTGTCGAAGGAAGGCGGAAGGAGAAAGGCGCGAGCCGCCCTCCCTTCAAGCTTTGACGATACAGCTGTGAATTGATGAAATTCTTGATTTATTCGTTAAAAGCAAAAAATTGTCCCTCCCTCCTGTGTGAAGTGAAATGTTTCTGCTTTGTGAAAGCCACCACAGGGCTCGAGAGCGGCTGCCTGCGAGTCAAAGAAATAAATACAATAAATACAAACAGATTAATGCAGGTAGCTAATCATTTCAGAATCATCCATACTGAGAGTATCAACAGGCAAATCAACATGGAAAAGCTCCTCTTAATGCACTTAAGGTAAATAGCCTACTATTTTAAAGAAAGGACCTCAACAATCAGATCATCCCATATAAGCACCACTTGGCAACAGTGGGGAGGAACCAAGCTCACTTTGCTGCTGGTCATGAAATCATCAGGAGCTCAAATCACTAAATTAAGAATAAATATATCAGAGTTTCTGTTGTTGGGACTTAACAATTTGACAGCTTTGTTTACAATTCAGTTACAGAATATTTGAAATAGACACCATCTCCTCCATCAGTTTGTCACTGTTTTCATTTTTACAAACAATTCCAGTGTTCAGACTGACTGGTAACAACGTCTGGCCAGGTATCGCTGCAGTTTTTGAAAAAGTTCTATGCTTTAACAAGTTGGAAATGCTTCTTCTTAAGAAATTACCGATGCCATGTGTGGTGCATTGAGGAGTCTGTAGACATCCTCAAATCAAAAACAGCAATCCCACATGGCCTGTAACCCACTGAGGATCTATGGCATCCTAGAAGATAACTCTGGAGGACTTGGACTCGTTCTCTATGTGCACCTCCCTTTCAACCCTCTCGGCGACCTCGTTATCGTCTTCTCCCACTCCATCTCTTTTGAGGATCTTCAGCGGCCACCAGAGGGAGCCGTTCCGGCGGTCTCGATGGATGGTGCGTTCGGCTGGCCAGCAGCTGGGGCCACCTTTATCGCCCGTGAGGAAGTAGAGCAGAGCATTGAGCCATGCGTTGCAGGAGGCCAAAGGTCTGGTGACCTTGTAGCAGATGGAGACGGTCTTCATGGCATTGCAGCCGCCAAGCTGTCCCCGCCGCAGGAGCAGGAAGAGCGTGCGAGTCACATGGAAGGGTAGGAAGCAGAGTGCAAACAGCAGTGTGATAGTGACAATGGTTTTAATGGATTTCCGCCGCCGGCGGATGTAGTGTGAGTACTGTGAGCCAGAAATAGAGACGGAGGTTCTCTCGCGCCCTCGAACTCCTTCCACAGACCCGTCACCCACTGGTCCATCCTCGCCACCCTCTATTGAACTGGGAGGAGAGCGCAGGGTCTGAAATATTGTCCGGACCACGTGGGAGTAGCACCAGGCAATGATGACAAAGGGCACAAAGAAACCTAGAAGGTGGAGAACAATGCCATATGGGACGTAGTCTGCAAACTCCTTATCTATGGCATCATCCCAGCAGTTTATGTACTCCTCGCCGACCCGGTCTCCAGTTCTGTTCCCATAATCGCTCCCTTCTCCAGGCTCAACAGCCTCACCAGCTCTGCGCCTAACGTATCCGGTCTGGGCGAACCTGAAGATGGGGCAGGTGAGAATGAAGACCACCACCCAAACTAATGCGCAGATCCCCTTCACCACCCGCTTACTTTCCAGTGTGATGGTCCTCATTGGATGACAGATCCCCAGATACCTGTGGAGAGACGACTAGTGGTCAGTTCAGTCCATCAGTTTAACCTCTGCTTATTCAGCATTTACACTGAGGTTCATGTAAACTGTTTTCAGCCATGTGTCAAACAGAAATAACAGAAAACTCAGAAAGTCAAAAATCCATAGAAGAGTCGATCTGAAAGGAAACAGCTTCTCATCTCAGTTCAGCACCTGATTACTAACGTATAAACCAACCTTTCACATAAATAGTATTTTTATGCAAATCTGACTGCAACATATCAGGTGATCCCGCTAACAAACTAACAGATAAACCACACCTACCTTAGAGGTAGTGAGCTAATGGAGCAAATGAGAACTAGCCTTTATTTAGTATGGACTGATGACAACGATGTCAGGTTCAGATTATCAGGGGTCGAATTATCAGCTGAAGCTTACCCATTCAAACCTACTGAACAGTTATGTGGCTCTTTAACAGAATGGCTTTTGGTTAGGTCGGCAGTTTATTTTGATCACAAGCTTTGAGGTCAAACCCATCAGCTCACCTGTTGCAAACATCTGATCAACTTCCGATGGGCTCAAAGATCAGAAGAATCTGATAGCTTGCTAATTTCCTGTTAGCCAGTCAAAGTTCAAATAGCAAAGATGAGAAATCCATCAAAAATTAACATTACCAGGAAATAATATGAGCAGTAATTATTTGTTTGTAGTGTCAGTGAAAGTGTGCTTCTGGTTATGAGCTGGAAACAAAGGGGGAGGAGCTGGATATCTGAGTTACTAAACCAGTCTCATAATAACAACGATTACAAAACAATTTGATAAACAACAAAAAGCAGCAAGATGCCATCAAGCCGACTTTAACTTGAGCTTTAATGGCACCAACTGAAAATCTGCCACAACCAACTCTTGGTAAACTCTGAGAGTTGGTCGTGACAGGAAACTTAAATGAAACTCACAAAGTCTCACATTAAATCCAAATATTCACAAAACCTTCATTTATTTGTATTTATTGTGCAGATTTTCTGGTATTTTGGTTAAAGTTTAGACAACATTTATGCGGAAGACAAACTTTTACATTTTCATTTTCTGTTTCTAGGCTGTCCTACCTGTGCACAGAGATGCAGGTAAGGAAGAAGATGGAGCAGTAGAGATTGAAGTAGAACAGGAAGCGTACGAGGCGGCACATGAAGTCCCCAAACACCCAGCAGTCCCTCAGCACATAGCTTGCCACCAGGAAGGGCAGAGACAGGCCGTACATCAGGTCAGTGGTGGCCAAGTTCACCATATAGATCAGTGAAGTGTTCCAACGACGTCCATGATGGCAGCAGGAGCGCAGGAGCACCACTGAGTTGAGGGTAAGGCTGAAAAGGAAGGTCAGCGAGTAGCAGACGGGTAGGAAGACATATTTGTAGGATTCATCGATACTGCATGAAGGCAGAGGGAGTGTCGAGGTGTGCGAGGTGCCTGACGTGTTGAGATGGTTGCTCGCCACAACAGCCGCCAGCAAGCTGATGTCTGGGGTGATGCTTGAGGTTTGACTCAACCCCATGATGAACCGCTGAGGCTATTTGTGGCAGAAGAGGATTAGTTCAGGCTTGTCTGGCATCATCTCAGCTCCTTCCTCTTCAGGTGCTATCTATCTAGCCATCTATCCATCCTCGGTCTCGGCTCAATGTTGACTGATCCATGTCTCTGTGACAAGAGAGGGAAAGAGAGCAAAGAAAACACAGCCTTATTGCCTCATTATTCTTGGGAAAGGTTGTTCAGAATGTACCACCAACGTTATGCTGATGAAGACTCTGTCTCGCTCAATTAGCCCCTCAATCATTAATGAAACTTTCCAGACCGTTCGTACAGCAGGCTGGTGGTCTGTTCTATGTTGGGGTCAGGTTTTTTTAAAGCCCGTGTCACAATAACTGAAGAAGTGCGGGTCAAGACGCCCCGTGCACAGCTGCTCAAATGGCTGAGTCATGTATATGTATGATTAAAGTCAGTATACAGTAGGGTAGAAACTCAGCTGTGAGCTCTACTTTGAATTTATATACTGCACATTATAGTGGCTTCGTGTAAAAACACAAAGTCTCTGAGAGGAAACAGCTGAAGCACAGGGTGTTATTTTTAGAGTATATTCCATGTTTATTAGTTGAGCTATTAATGGTTCCACGTGCAGATTGTTCTCTAACCTCTGAACAGCGATCAGAGTGTCAGTACACATCTTAGGGTCAAGTTTGTGTTTCGGAATTTTTAACTGTTTAAAATGATCAAATATAAATCTTATACAAGAAGAAGTGTGAGGTCAAAATAGAAGCGACTTGATTACAAGCTAACATCTGAAGACGTTTAGTGTGTTGCACCAGCACAAACGTGGTTTTGCTGAGATCGACAATATTCTGTGTTAGAGGTGGGAACTCTGGGATTTTTGCAACTGACTCTGTTAGATATGGATTTCTGGGACTTCCTTTGTCAAGATCAAAACTATAGAGAGAAGAATACTTCAATCAAGCACAGAGTTGGATTTACTAACTTTCACAACACCTGTTTTATTGCTATTTGCAGGGATATTCAACGCCGGAAAAAAGCTTGATGTGATGGCAGTTATTGCTGTGTGGAGGCATTGCAGAGATTAAAGACAGCCTTTGTTTCCATTTGCCTGGTCTCAAATATGGCCTGGTCTCAAATATGGCCTGGTCCCAAATATGGCCTGGCCCCAAATATGGCCTGGCCCCAAATATGGCCTGGCCCCAAATATGGCCTGGTCCCAAATATGGCCTGGCCCCAAATATGGCCTGGTCTCGATGTGACTGACGAGAAGAGTTCAGAGTATGTGTCTTTCCGGGCACGCCCTTTAGCCGGTTAAGCAGGATTCCCATCTTTGGAGTAATTGACAGAACACGTGTATTTTTAATTGTCCCATGTGAAACTGAGTGTGGGTTGTGTAATAAGAAGCACACACACTCAGTTTATGTGCAAATAGTCTCCGAATCCGTAAACATTATGTACATTATTACAACACTGTAGCAAAGCATCCAGGGTCTGTTCACAAAGTCTTCATTTTCCAGAATAAACATTTTAAAAACCTGCAGGATAGAAAGTACGGAGATGGTTGGCCTTCAGGTGAGTCCACAGTATTTCACGTGTGGCTTGTTGAGCCACCAATTTTTGCTAAACCAGATGCTGCATGTTAGATTTGTCTTCTCATAAGTAAATATATTAATTTATCTTATTTTGTAAAAGACGTTTTCTGATTGTCATCTTATTTTGGAAATGATTTTATTTTGGTGATTATAGGTGACTTCACTTCCTGTTCCGGATGTTTTGAAGCGCGAACTGCAAAAATGAATGTATGTTTTTTCCCTCCGGTGTTGCTGTCAATAAAGAAAAAGGGGAAAGTAAGCAACAAACCAAGTGTGCGCATTATTGAGAGAACATGGCCGAAGAAGAAGAAAACTCTTCGAGCTCAACACTGCAGCTGCCAGCTCTGTAACAGGTAACTCCTGTTACCTGTTCAGATCTGAACCAATGAGTGTTGACTGTTCTGGTACTTCACCCACAGGACCTACAACCGTCTCCTCTGCTGACACCTTGTTGTACACAGTTTTTGGTCTTGTGAGTCGCCTTAATCATTCCACCTTTCTTAGCGTCTTCAGTGGAGCTGCACTGCATTCACCCTTTCTAAAAAAGAATAGCTCTCTGACAGCCAGACTGAACGCTCAGATTTTCAATAAACATGTTGTTTCGGTCAACTAGGACCTCCAGTTCAGGTGCAGAAAGTTTTTCTTTTCGCTGCTTCTCCTTATTTTCATTATTGTGGTCAACATGAGAGCGTCTGTGACCTTTACTTATGTACTTTTCTGATTCCTTTTAACAAACCAAATCATGCAGGTTTTGGCAGATTAGGCATGTCATGCTGAAAATAACTTTAACTGTGTTTAGAAAAAGCAACTTTTGTAAATCATCTGTAAAACCAAGTGCTCCTATTTTTGCCTCACTTAGTAAATCTGGCCCTTTATTCCAAACAGGACCTATCAGATGGGTTATCATGAAATTTACAAGAGCATTCATGATCCCCAGAAAATAAATGATTTTGGTGATCAGTCTGCTTTTAAAAATTAGTCTGAGTGTATAATGCAAATATTTTTACTGTATTGATCTGATATTTATTTTGCTACACCAGCTGACATAATTATAAGAAGAAGGAGAAGCAAATGAGTCCACTGTACAGCACTCTGATGAATTCATGGTCTCAGTTACCTTTAGATCTTTACCATTGTCCCATTACAGTCACAGAAGCCAGGGCAAGTTTTGGGCTGGGCTACCTTGAAGTTATTGCTGCATGAAGTTCTACTCTCATCCTTTAATTATGGATCATCCACAGAGGAAGTGATTTGATTTGCTGATGGGTGGTTACACTGTCACGCTGGGCATTCATAGGACATGCTCTGGTTGCCTAGGTAACCATCTAATGTTTGTACTACTCTGACTTATGCGACTTATGCGAAATCTCTGTGGGCAAGGGCAACTCAAGGGCATAATCTTAGGTATGGTGGCCACAGTAGGGCAAACAGCTGTTCGTCTGTAGTAAGTGTGGGCTGTCAGTCTGCTGTTTACCTCACCTCTCAGTATATGGCCACATCTAATTACCCTGGAAGAGGCTGTAAAAGTTGTGAAAGCAGCCTGATAAGAGCCGTAAAGACAGTAAAGCTCACTTCTGTACAAGGACAATAATACCGAGGTGAATTGTAGAGAACATCCTTAACTTTTTTTTATCAGTGTGCTGCTGTTAGCCTCCATTAGCTGCTGTTAGCCTCTGTTAGATTCCACTGACCTTTGTTAGCTGCTGTTAGCCTCTGTTAGATTCCACTGACCTTTGTTAGCTGCTGTTAGCCTCTTTTAGTGCTTTTTTTTGCTGGTGTTGCTTGCTGTTCACTACTTTTAGCCTCTGTTAGCTGCAGTTAGTCTGTGTTATCTGCTGTAACTCTCTGTTAGCTGCTTTTAGCCATATTTGTAAAAGTAATAATGAACTATAAACTTTGCAGCCAGTGTTTAGCCACATATTTTAAAGCATGAACGGACAGAACAGCAATCTCCATGTTGGCTACTTTTTCAGAATACACAATTACACACTAATCTATGCATTCATATGCTGCATGCACAATCTATGCATGCAGCCAGGACTGCTGAGCAGCTAGAAACCTCCATCAAACCAGAACAGGACAGCGTTCCTCTGTGAGCCCAGCAGCTGCTGTTAGCTCTCAAACGTTTACAGACTGATGCACAGTGGAAACATGAGTCTGTTCCAACTTTTTACAGATGTGTTGCTGCCATTACATCTTTCATGAAACAGTCTCAGTTTAAACTTTTTATGTTTTCTTTGTTCTGTTGTGAGTAAAATATGAGTTTAACAGCTTTGCAAATCATTGCATTCGTTTGTTATTTACACAGCGTTTGTTGGGGTTATATTGTTTTTTTATTCTTCTTTATAATTAAAAGAAGGAAATGTAAGTTGCTGTCATTATAATTGAATGAAGGGTCTTTATAATTTATCACTCTCATTATGATCAGTTATAGCAATCATTCATTACTAAGTGAGCAAACACACCATCTCATCTGGAGGCAAGCAGAGGATTAAATCCAGTCTGTATGTTTGTGGACTCACCTGTGATGGTATTAACTGACAGAAGCTGACAGCAGCTGTCAGCTGGTGCCTGATTTCCATGAAGACATTCCTGGTCCACGGAAATTTAAGGGTGCGTTTGAAAGATTTGAAGCGAGTCTGGCCTGAAATTGATTCTATTTCTAGTACTTCATCTTCCGAGCATCAGTGGATCAGAGCCTGTCGTCCTTTGAGCTTCCACCTCCGGCTTTTTTTGGTAGACTTGTGGTTAAGAAGTTTCTGTTTCGGGCCCAAAGGGTCTCTCTGGGTCTCTCTCCTGACCTTCAGCTTCTCTGTAAATAATTGATCAGCGTTCATTCAGCCACAACTGCAGGAATGAAACCCAATACAGGGACTGCAGCGGGCGAGGAGGAAGAGGAGGAGGAGGTGCTCACAGCGCCAATGATTTTACATGAGCAGCCGAGGTTTGAATAATTCAGAGTAGACATAAAATATTTTAATGTCTCAAGTTTAAATGTTGATGCCACCCAATATTTGTTGAATTTATTAGGATGTTTTAATGTCTTTACTTTTTATTGCTGACTGAATGAAGTATTTGGATGCTGGATATACAAATTAGCTCGACGCCAACTCTCCTGTAATTGTGATGAACTGTCCTCCACACGACCCGAGATAAACTCAGTCACACATTTCAACTAATGAGCTCCTCGCCTTCTACAAGCAGCCAGAAAGTCAAAGGTTTATGTTCATAAATCCTCAGAGTCTACACATTCAAAGGAATTAAAAATAATTTGATCAGAGTGGACTTTAAAAAGCTTCTTGTGTGGAAACAGATAGGATCACTCACCTTCTCCTCCGGAGGAGATCCTGAAGCTTTCAGCTCCTCGCTCTGCCTCCAGTTATCTGAGGCTTTAATTAGAGAGAAAAGTGAATGGATCAGCCCCTCCTCCTCCAAACCGTCCGCTCTCTTCCCTCCATCATCACCACCATCAGCTCTGATTCATACAGTAAATACTAAATAAACAGAGAGCTGAGGGGCAGACCAAACACTGTCAGCTGTGTTGAGTGTGATCAAACACGGCAGCGGGATCAGTGTTCAAACAGCCGCGGTCTCCTCATTCTTGTCACATCCCCTCCTCCTGTTAAACACAGCCAAAGTTTCTAACACCGAGCTCAGTGTATGACAGTTTATCTCAGTTTTTTCTTCTCCCAGATCTCTGTGATGTCATAGTAAGGAAATACTTCTAATATAGTCATCTCAGACTGAAGAAGTGTGGGCTGGAGCTCGAAACAGCAGCTCCACATCAAACAACCGATGCACTGATCCAGGATCTGACAATACAAGCTGTCTGCTCCCATAACCACAAAGTCTTTGATTCATTTTTAGGGAAGAAGTGGAGCCAGGATTATTATGACCTGCAAATCCCAGAACAAAAATAATAATCATAATAATGATTTTTCTGATTTTTTTTTTTTACATTACCTGATCCAACCTAACTATAAACTCTATGAATAATAGAAGTGATAAGAACCAAGATGTTTAGGGCTGCATACAATAGCCTGAAGATAAAACACCTAATTTATCCTGCAGGTGTTTATGTGTCTAAAACAGGGGTGGAACTCCAGGATGTGTCCTTGACCCATCGCAGCCGATTGCAAACTAATCATGATTCAGGTGTGTTGAGCCAGGGTGAGATCTAAAACCTGCAGGACACCGGCCCTCGAGGCCTGGAGGTCCCCACTCCTGCTCGAAGGCATTAAAATTAATAAAAGAAGTGATTTTTGTGTCTTTGCAGATAAACCTGGGTATCATCTGCATAGAAATGCACATATATGAAGAACTACAGCAAAGCACAGTAATATGACATCATTAAGTTTTGCTTTTGAAAATATATTTCAGAATTAATGTTTACATATACAAATATATTTGTAGTTAATTTTATTTACATTTTAAAATACTTCTCCAAATATTCTTAAAGTCACGGTGAAATGATGAACAGCCTTGTATCAGTGTCATAACCTTCCACAACCTCAAAACAGCACATTTCAGTGTGACTTTAAATACTTTAAAGCACATTTCTCATTACAGTACATCGCTTTCAATGTAAATGACATTCAGCTTCTTATCACAGGCACGAGAGCACAATGCTAAATATCCTCGACTACTGTTTAAATGACTACTGTGCTCATGAAAACAGATTCAGGGAGTTATTTAAAGCACATGATGGATGAGATGCAAAACGTTTAGTTTTAAGAAGAAAATGAAAGTAAGGCAGCAATCATGGCACATAGTTGGTTATATTCAGTGGATTCTTCCCTTACATTTAAAGTAAACAACGATAGCGCGATCACAGACGGTACCTGAAGAGTTTAGCATCAGTTAAAGAGGAATTTCACCACTGTGACAGAAACGCAACTTTGTTAGTCTGAAGTTGTTTCAGTTATTTATTTTCTGCTTTAATGTGATGACACATCAAGTTTGGGTGAAATTCCCCTTTAATTAAAAAACAAAACAAAAACTAAGTATAATGTCCAATAATCAAGATATCATGTAAGCTCTTTAACTCCACGTGCTTATATCTGTGTGCTGTTCCCTTTTTATAGTAACAGGTAAAAGTGGTTCAGTAAGTAACACAATAAAACTTAAATAAGATAAGTTAGATCCCTTTTGTTGATTATGTCTAATTAGTCTCGCCGCAACTCAGAGAACACAGCGTTGGAGAAAATATGTGAAAATGGGATTTTTTTAGATGAAATTTGATCACCAAACTCCCAAATCTGAACGTAATGTTAGGAGTCAGAAAGTTGACCAATTTGACTTCGATGAGGATGTTTGAACCGATGAGTCACTGAGCTTTCAGCACGGTGTAAAGTAACACCGTTTTACCAAAATGCATCTTCTAAATGAACTGAGTAACATTCGTTGTCTAAGGTCCAAAGTTGGACAGGTCTAGAGACCGGTTGGCAACCACCTACCAACCACCAGGTGCTACAGAAAAATGTGTTTTAACCAACTGTGAGGTTGCTGGAGGTTGGTAGATGAGCTCAGAGGAAGACACCAACAAGCCTCTTTGTGGCTGGTTTGGCAGGCTGTTGCAACACAAACCTGAAACCTCCACAGTAAAAGTTGCACCTTTTGAAATGTGTTGTTTTCAGTAGTAAGGTACAACTTTTACTTTGAAGGAGTTTCCTGTTTGCCTTTCCCGACCGCTCGGCTCAGTGTGAATGTTTGCAGACATGTTGTTGTCTTCAACACAAACGTGGCAACCAAATCAATCACAGGGAGGTTTTTGGGTGCAGCGCTCCCTTTGCAACCCATTTTCACCCAGTGATAACCAGCAACCAATCACCACTTGGTGGGAATATACATGTACTGATAGCAACCGCAGGTTTCCAGGGGGTCGCTCACCACAGACATTTGACTCGTAGGTTTATCAAAGTCATTGTTTTTGGTCTGCTGACCATGATTATGTCTCCCAAATTTCATCCTGTAGCTTTAAGACCTGTGTCTCAAGGCAAAAACACGGTTACAGGCTGTTTGACGAAGACAATGGATCCTCTGAGGAACATAAAGTCTCCACAAAAATCCTCTTGTAGGACAGAGTGAGGATAATAACACCGTGCTACCACGGTGGCTTAAAATGAGCATTTAGAGGAGCACAGGTATCAAAAAAGATTTGAAAAGCTCCAGCAAAATATACTAACCTTTCCCAAAATGTCAGTTTCATTTTCAGAGGCCGAGCCTGTAAATCTGTGGTGCAGATGAAGACCCCTGTCATGCAGTTTTGGAGCAGAACGATTTAGTGATCCTGGAAACATGCTGAGAAAATGCTGCATGAACATGTCACCTGCTGAAAAACATGAAGAAGATTGTCTGAGGTTTCCGTACAAGGGACTTAATAGATGACCAATCAGAAGAGAGTGTGCTTATAGAGAGGCGGGCCTTAAAGGAACATGAGCTCCAAGGATTGTTTGAGGCTGAGGATGAACTCGGGGCGTCACATACGGAGCTGCTGTGAGATGAACGAGCTGCTCCAACAACAGAAACATAACAAGCCCGATTGTCAGCAGTCAGAACAACGACCGAGACTTCGGTTTAAACTGTCACAAGCCAGCAGCTGATTGGCCGTCCCGATGAATGAATCTGACTTCACCAAAAAAACCCTCCAACATCTGAGCTCTGTTATGAACGTTATTCCAGGATCATCGTTTCTCTGGATGGTGCTGATTGGTCAGTTTAGATGAACCGGCAGGTTGTCGCTGACGCAGTAAACAGCTGAGGGGCTGACACGCCCGAGCAGTCAGCCTGGTCCCAGAGAGGCTGAAAGAAGGAGCACTGGGCAGAGACTGTGCGAGGCCTCCGCCGTGCCATTCTGGCGTTAGGTCAGGTCCTGGACGTCCAGCAGCATGGCGTCCTGCTTCGTCCTCAGCTGGTCTCGTACCAGGAGGTGGGCCACCAGCTCGGAGCTCAGAGCTGGAAAACAAGCAAAGCAGAGTGAGGGCTAACACGAGGCGTTTGTCCCCAGAACAAAGTGGAAGAAATTTCTGAGCCCGGTAGAGTCAGATAGAGGCCACAACAAGGTGAGGCTGAGAGATCAATCAGGTCTTATTATTAAAACCAGACAACTGTGATCAAACGCTCCACTTTTCACAGCACAGCTCTGATTTTTGTGTCATAAATGAAACGCACCTGTTTCCTTCACTGCAGCACAAAACAGCCTTCAGTCTACAGGCTCTACAGGAAGTAAAGTCTCAGGGCTGTGGAAAGATTACTGACAGCTGCGATTAGCTTCACATCTTTTCTATTCAAAGTTTTAAAGTCTTCACGACAGACTAAAAGATTCACTATGAGGCTAATGAGGAATGTCATTACTTAGAAAACCAGCCTGGCTTTTCCTGCAAATGGTAAATGGCCTGTATTTACTCGCTTTACTCGTCCCTAAGGACCCCAAAGCGCTTTTAAACTACATCCAATCATCCACACATTCACACACTGGTGATGGCAGCTACATTGTAGCCACAGCCACCCTGGGGCACACTGACAAATATATAATTAACACAAATATATAAATTTGTTTCTTTATTTTCAAGAACAAATCTGTTGGACGTAAACCTAACAGAGACAAAGTTGTGAAATAAAGATCGACTCTAAATGAAACCCAGATGTGAGGCTGTGAGCAGCATCGTTGTGTTTCCGTTAAAGCTCTGCGTACCGTGAACGTCTCGTTCCAGCGACGCCCTCAAGCTGCCGAGCTGCTGCAGCGAGCGTTCCTGCAGCTCCCAGCGCTCCAGATGTTTCCGCTGGGCCACGCAGCTGCTGCCAGCCAGCCGCTGCAGCAAACACACACACACACACACAGATGAGCTTCAGGTCATCGATCTGCTGGTCGGGCTCGGGCTCGGACTCACCTCCTCCTTCTGTTCGGCCAGCAACTTGTCTCTCAACGTCCTCAGAGCCGTGGCCACTTCCTGTTTCAACCCAGCGGCATGGCAACCATTGTGCCCTGTTCCCTTTGTGACCTGACAGGGTCAGAGGTCAGAGGTCAGACTGTGGATAGCACCTGTTTGTGACTGTGTTTTAACCTGAGCATTAGGCAGTGGTGAGGTAAAGGCGAGCCTGTGTTCAGAAAAACAGCAACAAGACTCGCTGGAGAAACGCTGCCCCCTGCTGGTGACAGCTGCTGTTACGTTCTGCAGCAGATAATCACAAAAAGTAACTTTAATAACAGTTAGAGTTACACTCCTTGTGCAGCGGTGTGTTCAGACAGTGACGAGTGAGAACACGAGTTAGTGCCTGATAATGACTCAGAGACAAAGGAAAGGATTCCCACATGGAGCCCAGAGAACTAATCGTTTAACCCTCAGTGACTTCCAATCAGTGTTTCAGCTTCTTTTTTAAATTTGATCTCTCTGTACAATGGACTCCGAAAACTCTAAAGGTCGACCCCATTTTTCCGCGTGATCGAGCTGTTCTTTATTTTTATTGTTGCCTGGTGATGAACTGATGTTCTCCTGCTCTGGCTGGACTCTCCTGCAGATCTCTGGCAGTAACACTGGCTCGGCTGCTGCTCTCAAATCTTTAGCAGTGTCTAAATATCCTTTGAGAAAAGCTGTGTCCACACCCAGCTTTGCTGCCACTCTGCTAGAGGTTCACAGATCCCAAAAGCTTAAAATGTTCAGTGATTACTAACAGCAACACTGGAAGGTTTCACGAACAGACAAACTCTCCTTTCACTACATGAAACTTCTGAAGCTTAGATTCTGAATCATTTTGTTGCATTCGCAGTAAAATCTGTCCCTGATCTGTGTCCTGAAACTCGCTGCAGCAAGCAGAGCAGGAAGCACCTTTTTATTGGCCCCCTCCTCCTCCTCTTCACTGTCGCTGTTGTTGATGAAGCACAGCTGCAGGTTTCTGTGGTTGTGAAATCTGTAAACAAATAAAATGCTTTATTTTCTTCACAAATGAGAGGGGAAGAAACAGTCATCAGCTAGCTGCAACTCATGGCCGAATCCACAGACGGTAACGGCACGGCCACGCTCGAATAAAAACAGGACGGCAACCTCCCCGTGACTACGGAAACTCAGTGGTTGCTAGGCGACCGAACTTATAACTTCAGACTGCCAACATGTTGCAGTCAGTCTGTAACAACTGTTATTACAGCACAGCACCACTAGGGGGTGTCATTCTACTATCGTGGTAGGAAGAGAGACCCCCAGAGTGAGTACAGCCCGTAGCCATTACAGTCGAGCTGGCTACTAACTTCTCACCTCTTTGTGAGGAAGACCATATCCCTGCAACGGGCTGACGCCAGCATCTGCCTCACCACAATCATTTATTCGACGCCACACGTTACCGGACGGTAACTTTAGCTGGAATTTACCGTGATTTGAAAACGTTCTGCTGAGTCATCGGATTATCAGAGTTTGGAAGAATTATCCGACCGTATGCATCGATTTGATGCTGGAAACAAAAACATCGCTAATTTCTTGCAAAGATGATGAAAATGCATCTGGAGGCTTCACGGTGGGATCTCGCTAACCAGCAAGTGTTGCTCCCTCCATCCTGCATGATGGAGCACCGGTGTAGGAGCGAGCTGCCCTGCGAGGTCACCGTCTTCACTGGGCAACACTTTGACAGATTCAAACCAACAAACACGAACTCAACAAAAAACAGAGATTATCCACGACGCTTCATTACCGTGACGTAACAACTGCCACTCGACACCTCCTGAAGTCTTCCTCCTCCTCTTCCCCCCAGACGTTGCTCCACACACCATCTGGATTTCCCTCCGTCCTCAGCCCCGCCCCTCTCTGCAGGAAGACAACATTACCTGAGGATAATTCTCCACCGATCACCTGACGACTAACCATCAACATCCAGGACTGAAAAATGAAGCATCAAAAGTTGCAGTTCCCCCGATGACCACTAGATGCTCTAAAGGTGCATCCAGGACTTGGACTGGAAGGTTTAGTCTTATTGGTTGCTGTGTTTGGTTGCCTTAGTATCAGTATTTTGGTTTAGTTACAGAAGTTGCAGGCATTGCTGGCTTTGCACTGGTTTTGTTGGTTCAGTTGCACAAAAACTTAGTGTAGCACTGTTGCTCTAGTTGCAGCAGTTGGTTTAGTTGCTGAAGCTGAGACTATTTTGTGTTGCTGGTTGCAGGGGTTGGTTTATTAGAAGACGTTGCTGTGTTTAACTGCAGGTGTGAAATATTGTTAAATTGTTATGAAACTACAAATATGGTTCCTACTGGCTTTAAAAACCAACCATGAACTAACGTTGGCCTTTCAAAACTTAGTGAGTGACGCCACAGTGGTCACGTCCATCTTTTATATACAGTTTATGTTGACAACAAACCACTCAGACTGGTTTCAGATTTTTCTGTGCAGCAAAGCAAGGGTGAAAGAAAAAAGTACTCCAGCAGCAGCAGATTCTCACCAATCACAGGAAATGTAGTAAAAACTAAAGTGTGATGAGTATCAGCCCAAAAAGCAGCACAGATAAGAGGCTGTCGCCCAGAGCAAACAGGAAACTGATGTTGGGAAGTTCTGAGTGATCGTCATGTCACCAGAGAACGTATAAACATGCAGCTGTGACACCAGGTCGTTGAACCACCTCCTCCTCCTTGTTTTAGCTCGGTGTGGATTACGGCAGCGGCTCTTCAGACACAACAAACACGATCTCATCCTGTTCAGGATCGAATTAAAAAACAGGGGAAACGGCAAAGACTATCAGGAACAAGCTCCTCAGAGACCTGAAGTAAAGAGCAGAGGGGGGGCAAACCATGCTGGATACTACATTTCCCACAATGCAACTGAACAGCAGCAAACTAAAAATTTGAAGTGAAGCTTCTCTTTCAACCGGCACTGTTTACAGATGGGCAGTTTCCTGCGCTCAGCTCTGCTGGTTTAATTCTGCTCGTATTCCTGCAGATTCTGCTCTCAGGCTCTAACGCTTAGTTCCAGGTTACAGCCTGAAACTATGGAAACCACAGCTGGCTACGGATTGTGTGTGCTGCCCAACCTGTTGCCCAGTGGCTGCTGAAGGTGGCTGGCTGTTGCTAGGTGGTCGCTAAGAAGGCGACGCACCAAAAACCGCCTTGTTTTTGCTTGTTTTTGTTTATACTTTAAAATTCGCACTGACTAACTGCTGGAATCTCTAGTGGACATTAGATGAACTGCAGGTTTTGGTGCTTGATTTTTCCTTCTTTGTCCAGCGAAGTGCATCATGGGAAATGTAGTCTTTCCCACTGACTGAGAAACAGAGCCTCAAACTCTGAACATTATCTATAGCTGACCTTTGACCTTTCCCTCCGCTCCTGCTCCTGTTTCTCCAGCTCAGCTATCCGCTGGCTCAGTTCCTCCCAGTGCATGATGGGAAGGTCCTGGTCCAGAGAGGATGCCTCCATGGGGTGATCCTGATGAAGCTCCTTCTCCTCCCCCTCCTCTTCCTCCTCCTTCTCCTCAGACGTCTCTTTCTCTCCCTCCATCCTCCTTGAATGAACCAAAGCAAGATCAACAAAAAGTAAACAATAACATGTGTAAACACAGAAAGCAACAAACAGCGTTGTTTTCATTTAAAAACTCTGAAGACCAAGGTGGAAACTCAAACCTACAGAATGTCTGAGACGATTTATCCACAACACTCATTAACATGTTGCAGTTTTTTCTACTCCTGGATCCGTAAGAAGTCACACAGAGAAATACCTTATATGGTTATCTCAGGCAGCAAAGCCCCACCCATTTGCATTCTGTTTATGAGTGGCAGCCAATAATATGGAAGTGGCTTAAAGAGGGAGGGGCTAAAATGCTGTGCCACGGTGCATATTTTTGTATCTATTTGATATTAAGCAAATATTGGGCCAGTATTGCCGATACCAATACTAATAATGTGGCAACCTCTCAGTGTGTCATAACTTATTTGATAATTCTGGACATATTTTAATGATCACTAAATCACAGTGAATTTAACTTTCCACAACAAAAGTAGTAGTTTGAAGTAGTAGTAGTTTGAAACTGGGATTTTTTAGAGCTGGGATTTGAATGGTCCTGTCAGTGAAGCCCTTTGGCTCAGCTTCTGCTGTTTAAAGGTTTCACAGGCTGTTAATACAATATACAGTCAAAACACAAAGATATTTATCGATACAGCATTAGCATCAATGCTATTCTGTACGTTTGATGAACTGAAGGTCCAGTTTAAGATAAAGAGGGCTTATTTTGAACTTTAACTCATGTTAAGCTACTGTAGAAACCCAGGATAAACATCTGGAGCTGGGACTGAGCAGTGGTGTGAGCTAAAGTTATTAATATCATTAATAGCCCAGCAATAATCATGTAAAGTTGCACACATGCCAAATACAATCAATAGAGATCAATAATTAAGGAACAGTTTCAACAATCTGGTAACGTTTAAATATGTTTACGGAAGATTTATTGGTTGTAAATGATCCATGTGGTTGCGGATAGAGGTGAATGATCAGAGTTGTGACTGCTGCTCTCTGAGCCCTCCCGGCGGCTGTGGCTCCGCAGTGTCCCGCTGCTGTCGCGCTGCTCTGGCCGCATGTTGTTTAGGAGCAGCGGGGACACCCCACCTACCAGTCACATCCAGGCGGCTCCGGTTCTCCCCGACATGTCGCCGTCCGTCTGCGGCCCCCCGGGTGCTCCGTGTGCGCCTCCCGCGAAGCTTCGCAGTTTTTTCGGGAACCTCGAGTAAAGCAGCTCAAAGTTTCCTGAAACTATTTTAACTCCGTCTGAGGAAGGAGCACCTCCTCCACCTCCCCTTCCGCTCTCCCAGATTTAACCTCTCGTCTGATCGTTAAAGTGACCGACGGCACGAGCGCTAACGGTAACGGGACGGTACTTGGAGTACTCCGGTGTGCGGGTGCGTGAGCCCCGAGTGGCGACTGTTAGGTGCAGTCAGGAGCGCGGTGTGGTTGCTTTAGTTGCAGGAGTTGCCCCATCTTGTTGCTGCTGCGGTTAGCTTGGCTGCAGAAGTTGCTGTGTTGAATTGTACACTGTTGTGTCAATGGTTGCCTTGTGTGGTTAAGGTTGCAGCTACTGTTACTATGGCTACTTAGTTGCACCAATTACATAAGCTTGTTTTGCTTTAGTTGCTTTTAGTTTTGGAATATTTGCCATCTTAGTTGCAAATTTTACTAGTTGGTGGGGTTGCTGTGATTTGGTCTAGTTGCATATGCAGGCATTCTCACTGTGGTTGCTGAGGCTGGTTACAGGTGTTGCTGTAGTCGTGTATGTTGTGCTTAGATATTTGGTTTTGGGGCAGAAGTTGCTGCATGCAGAGGTTGGCCAACTGAGGATGTTGCCGTGGTTGCCTCGATGTGAACCTGAAGGTTTGGGATGTTGAAATGATCTTTGTTGCTGGATGTGGATCAGAGTTGAACGGAGATTCGCTGAAACACACTCTGGGTGCTTTTCAGTAAAATATTGGAATCTTTTAATAACTTCATGTCTGTGTTGGACTCGGTCCAGGTTCAGGTCCAGCTGATTCTCTCCTCGTGGGAAACATCTGCACAGCGGCAGTGAAGGGGTTACGGTTGCCGGTGTCCAGTTTCACCATATTTTGGAGATGACGACTCAGCGCAGATGAAGAATTCACAACAACAGAGGAAACACCACAACATTCCTGCCATCGAAGCTCCGTCCTGACGCTCCGTGTTACTGAGCTCAGTCAGAACTTCCTCTCTGAGCTGATGAGCATTTAAACATAAAATACTAAACACTCAGTTTTTATGACTTTAACTGAGTTTAACTGCTTGAAGACGCCACCCTGGATGTATGACTGTTTCCTGAAAGTTTAAAGACCAGATTACAGATGGTATAAAATGAATAAATGAATGTCCCTCATTTCTTTTCCATCCATCTGTTAAAGTAAACTCAGGAAAAACAGAACTAATGATAATTAATAAAAAGACAAACGTGCTTTGTTTAAACAGTTACACCATTTCTTAAATTCATTTTTAATTTTTTTAAGAAACAAAATTTTAAATTTATTATGCAAATAAACGTAGCTTACTTTAGCTTCACATTCAAAGTGTGGTTGTCTGGCTGCACCACGGCAGACAAAAAGGCACTTCAGAGGGTCATTAACATCAATCACTGGACATCCTGAAGGACCTGTGCAGCTGTCTCAGTGTACTCAGAGACCAGGTTACATCAAAAACCTCTATTTTCTGCAGTATTCGCTTGATTGTTACACCCCAGTCTACCGTCGTGTTCAGCGCTGTCAGATGTGGGTTTTTTCAATGACCACTGACAAAAAAGCCTCATTTCTGCTGTTCAATAACAAAGAAATGTAAACTTTTACAAATGATTGCTTAGCTGTGTCTCTAATCAAACCTCTGTAACTTTGCTCTGCTTCATCTTCAGCAGCATCAGGTAATGTTCAGATGTTGATTCATGGTTTTCTTCTGTTTTTCATCTTTCTGTGTTACCTCAGTTACTTTGACACAAAGACATCTGCTGTGATGCTCACACCTCCGAAGTCTCACAAGTGCCAGCTTTGTGTTTATACATGGATATAAAAATATAGACTGTACGGATAAATGACCAGGATTATAATATTTCTCACTGAATCTGAATTGAATCAGTTATAGAAATCGATACCCAGCCCTAGCAATAGCCCTAATCAGTGCTAACAGCTGGCATGACTGCCTCCCTGGACTTTTGGGGGGCAATAACGTGCAACAAACATCCATTCTAGAATTTATTATGTCATACTTTTTTGCACTTTTATCCACTTTAAATTTTACTGTGTTGTGTTTATTTCTGGCGTGGGACAATTTTCCAATGTCATTGTACTATTGTACTAAATATGACTGAAACGACAATAAAGAGTTATCTTAAAATTGTTTTATTTTAAAATCAGAACCAGATAGTAAAGGAAAACTAAATCACTGATCAAAACCGATACCAATGCTTCATTTTACCACTATAAAATTTAAAGTCATCACTGTTAACATTACAGTCATATTTCTTTTAAGAGATAATTTCACACAGAACTCAACTTCAATTTCAACACCCAGTGTGACAAACACTGATATAAACTACAGCTACATGCTATGATGTCACGCGTTGTTCTGTAGATTAGAATAATTAAAAATGATAATAATGATAAATCGTTGTGAGCTGGATTAACCATTGGACAATAAGAAAATGACCAATTCTTCACTAAATTAAAGGCATTTAGATTTTTTAGTGTATTAAATATCGGTGGATCTTATGTTAAAGTGTGGAAATGCTTGTCATGTATGATCATCTCTGAGTTTTGGAGGAAGAAACAGGACCGAACTTTTTATGTATTTGCATGGCAGGCTGCAGTTCCCCCTGTGGCCGGCCGGCGGCGCTGTTTCCACAGTTGGCGAACTGCCTGTATTTGGTTGAAGGACTATGTTGTAAAAATCTTTCAAACTGTTAATTTTCGGAGTTTTCGCGACTCCTCCGCAGGAGTGCTCGGTGGGTTCGGGGCCGGCGTGACCGCCTCTTCCCGGGGACAGGCGGACCTTCCCGCCTCGGACAGTGTGGCGCGGGTGCTTAGCGGTTTTCTGATCTCTGGAGGTTTTTGCTGTTAGCTCCGCAGCTAATCCTAAAAGTCGCATCAGCTGTGCGGATTAAAAGTTTCCCCACAAAGCCGGGCCCAGGAGGAGGCTCTGCTGGGCACATTTAGGGAACTTCATCGCGGCTGTTTCTGCGTATTTTTCGCGGTTTTACGCAGTCGTAAAAAATAACGTTAGCGGCGCAGCAAGTGAAGCCAGCTGTGGGTCATAAATGTCGCCGTGGCCCGCAGTCACACGCGGATAATAAGGTTTTCGTAAGGAGATGCGGTAAAGAGAGGCGAGCTTCGCTGTTCAGCCCGCTGACTCGGCGGCTCTGGGTTTGCTGCTAGCGAGGCCTGCGGGTCGGGCTTCCACCGGGCTCGAGTAGAGCCCGTAGCCGCCGTCAAGCGGTTGAAGGCCGGCAGACGGCGCAGTCGGGCCTGTGGACCAAAGTATGGAACGGATGGAAGTGGACCAGTGCGCAGGCGCAGGAGGCGGGGCACTTCGCAGGTCGAACAGCGCCCCCATGATCACGAGTGTCAGGTTAGTGGTTCTACACCACACGTTGAACTCCGTCCAAAAGAACTTAAATTTTAATGTATTGATCACAGAAAGCTCGAAGGTATTATTTTAATAGATAAAGTAAGTCATCTTAATACAACAGTCCTGGTCTTTTATTCGGCTTAATGCCAGGTGTGATGTAATAAAATTAAATGTTTATTTTACTTGTGCTTATTTTCACTTAGAGTTCTACATGATAATAATAGAACTATACAGAAAGATTGTAAACATGGCCAACTTATTACTGTTTTTATGTTTGGTAATCTTCTGCTGTGATTACTAATGTCTTAGTTTGAAAGTAGCAGCCACTATAGTCTATATAATAATTAGTTTAAACTACAGTTTATTTACACATGAAATAATTTGCAAATCTAAAAAATGTAAACATGAGAAATTAAAAAATTCTGTGGCTACTTGGATAAAAATAAAAAACACTCCTGGCATCCTTTTTGATTTTTGTACTTTGAAAATCATTAAACAGATTTTAAAAATAACACGTACCATGAGGGCAGCAAGAATCAGTTTGAACCCTGAACATATGAGAACAAAATTTTAACATAACTGTTTAAGATACTGATGCCAATAAATAGTTATTTATATATTTAAATATCCAAACCTCGGCTCTGTGAAAATTACACGAGAGGTTATTGATTATCTTATTTATCACGTTATTGGTCTCTCTCAGTGACGGGATGACGGTCTTCGGTCCCGTGTCCTCGGCTCGGTACAGACGCAGCAGCATCTCCATCAACCCCAGCTGTCCCTCGCAGGTCAGTAGTGCTGCAAAAACTTTATTTACCAGAAAATGTTCGTAAGCAGTGAGATAACACAGTGTTTAAACACACCTGATCTGGAGCGTCAGGTGTTTCCTTTGAGCTGTAGAGGTCGACCGAAACTGAAACAAGAAGAGACAGAGAGCTGCACAGGAACCAGATGTGACAGCTGCACCAGCTTTGAGAAAACCCTCTGATCTGGATATTAAAGTTTTTATCGAGGGCTGAAACTGGAAGGTCTCATCAACCAATCACAGCTCCCCTAACTGCACCTCATGCCGATGTTTATGACTGCTCGTACGCTTGCAGAAGGAAACAAGGAGCCAACTGCACTCATGTTTTACGGCTCAACATACTTTTAACTCAAAATGTTCAAGTACTGAGGAGAAATTATAAGATAAGCACCACATTTGACCTTTTAATCTACCGTTGAAACACAGAGCAGAGCTAGTCTCTAATCTGACGATCATCATAGACGCTGGGCCAAACACCACGTTCTCCTCCGACTTCTCTGTAACTTTGTTTTTGTACTTTTGTCTTCACCACAAAGATCAGCAGCAAATATCCAGTCAGGACTTCCTGCTTGGATCCTTGAAGAACTCAGCAGGACTACAAACAGTGATAAAAGTCAGACTAAACTGTGATGAGCACTGTGACTGCATCTGTTCTGAAGTTAAAGGATAAACTGTGGAGATCACTCAGAGTTGGAAAAAATCTCGAGACAGTTTTCAGATCTAATAATAAAACGTTTATTCATGTTGCACCTTTTTAACTTAAGTTCAGACAGCAGGGCCAGAAATACACCAGGATGTAACATAGAATAAAAACAGTCAGACAATCGATTACAAA